CACATATGAAATTTCAATTATTCCAGCATACAAACTAACTTTTCTTGAACGTAATTACGTATTGTTTGAATTTATCCCCAATTAATGATATTAAGATTGTACAGCATTTATAATTATTTCGCTATTTTACTTTAAGCCTAGTGCTTTTATTAACACAAAACAATGGAAAGGGCATTGCATTATATGGGCGAATCTCGTTCTCTCTTGAGGGTTTATTTACATAGTCTGATGTTTTAAAAAATAATAAAATATCCTTCGCGACAATTTGGGGATTCTTTGCAATTAAAGGCTTGCAGGTATTTGATGCTTAGATATGAGGAGTAAGGGGGATTATAACTTTTGTGATTTTAAAATCGGTTGATGATAGAAGATTAAGCGCATAATTCAACATTTAAAGGATATACAGAGTGTTTTTCGGCTTGCCACCACTGGCCTTGAAAAGGCGTATACTATTTGCCCAAAAATTAAGATAGGGGTGGCTAACCCCAGGGAAACCCTCTCCAGGAGAGCGAGGCGTACATGGGTACCTATTTATAGTGCTTTCGGACTTTGGTGCTACTTTTGATTTTTTTATTACAATCAATGGAGGGGGTATAAGACATTTCTTTCGGTTCTTGAGTGGTGTTGTTGAGTTTGTAGAGGCCCCAACGCGCCTCAAGCACCAATACCCGCCCTTTACACACCCCACCATGCAATCGGAAGGCTTTAATCACTAGTAGCCGGTTTAGGGAGACTCCTTAAATTTTGTATAATTATCAGGTATATTGTGCAAATTTGTGTTATAATGGATTCATAAAAAATTTGTTCCACTGCTTTGATTGTAACAAACATGGGACTATTAATCTAATATTATACGTATCTTCTGAGTAATAATATGAGCGTTTTTTCCTAATGAGGTGATCTTTATATTTGCAGGAAAAGATGATTGGGTTGGCAACAGTTGGAACTTGATTATATCTATCTATACACTCTTCTCCACTATTTACGGGGATAACTCGGCTTCGATTTACCTCGCACGTCTGCGGCATTCCTCTCCAAAACATATATAGAAGGGGTACATTATAACACTGGAGGGTCACAACATAATTTATTCTCATAAAACAACTAACAAGGGGCTAAAAGGAAAGAGAGGTTTCTAATGATAGTTTGGAGGAAATAAAAGAATAAATATCTGGAGTAGGGGTATGAGCTCACAGACTTAAAATAAGTGTAGAGGGACTTTGGGGCCACACCCAGACCAAGAGTTTCTCGTGCAAGCATACATAGCTCCAACGACACGCTGTTTCTTTCTTTCGGTACTTTCCACTAGAGGATCGAAGCCAAACATAAGTCGGGACTCCGGGGTAGGGCATAAGGGATTAAGGCACACTCACCTCCCTAGTAACTCAGAACACTCTATTTAATCCGAATACATGAGAGACAGTACACAAATGATAAGTTTTGAAACAATCAACCTTAGAGCATGTCAGGTCATTACTAGAATGGAGCTTAGTAAGCAAAGTCGCTCAGTGCAGTCCGGAGCCAAGGCTTATTAGAACAAACCACCGGATGGCCAAGATGTATCACTCTCTAATTTATATCAAATAGGCAATGTTTCAAGGTGCAGGCAATTTGAGAGAGGTGAGAGTAAGAGATGGCACAGAAGCTGAGATAGCGAAAGGGCTCGGCGGGAGTAAGGCAAGCTGGCCGGGTTCAATTTAAGGAAGGCTCCATAAATAGATTGAAAGGTCACATATATATTGATAAGTACTAAAAGATGGTATTAGTCATTTACATAGCCCAATAAAGAGATAATATATTTGAAGATAATATAAGCAACAATACCGGCTCCCATTTCGAACATTGGAAACTCGCCAACAACATTTCTAAAGAAAGCATATTTGGAGTTTCAAAAAATCACACAATAATTGGTGGTTGAAGCGGTGATAGCGTGTAGTGAATGAAGACAAGAAAAATACTTAAGAACATTTCCTTAATTATTACCACAACACGTAGAACACGATATATATTTTAATTTATAGTTTTTATTCCACACTTAAAGATTAGAGGAAGGCAGAATCATAATTATCATTTTTCTTGAAAGATGCCATTTAACTTTAGTACACCAAATAAAACATATTTCCTATATTTCCCTTTTTATATCACTGACTCTGCCTTCGCTCTATTTCAAATAATAGAGCAGAACATCTAAAAGCATCACATCATCAGTTATCAGGACATATACAACAAGTCCTTACTAAATTATTGGACTTAAGCAAGAAATCCTTGTTTTTAGTTTTCGGTACTTTCAAGTAGTCCTTTCTTTCAAAATCGTGCGAATGATTCTAAGGTAGTCCTCTAGCTTCATGTGGACCTCAAGCGGGGGCGTATATGCTCGGAGAAATAAATCTTTAAATTTCTGTTCTACTTACCAGATTAGGACGAAGCTATTTAAGAGGCACGGCACCAGTTAGTTCGGATTTAAAGCCAATTTCCACACAACTGCGGGTGGGGGACAAATAACTTAATTGATAGCAACTCCCTAAAATGACCTTGCCTTGAAAACAACTCAAACAATAGTTCACACTCATATGGCAAATTCAATGGACATATCATCCTCGGCTCCAAAAGAAGAGTATTTAATACTTAAAAAAATACATAAATTAGACACACAGGAGAGAAGATTAAATTGATGATGATATTAGGAATTTCTTTAACTAATTTAAATTAAAGTATGTAGGTAATGATTAGGTTTAAAGGAAGGTTTGCTTTCACATCAAAAATTTAAGTACAGGAAAGGAAAGGTTTTTGAACCAAATTCATCAAAATAGATGCTATTGCCCTAAACATCAATAGACTTTAATCTTCTTTCACTATACAATGGAAGGAATAACACCATTAAGGAAATACTATGTGGGTAAAGTGGGGCCACGATATCCGGCTTGCTGTCAATCTCAACGTTTCTGTCTGAGGGGGATCTTAGGTCCAACTTGGGTAAGATAGAGGGCGGAATCACCCAAAAAACCATCTCCAGCTTTAGTTTCATCCCATGCCCGCATTGCGATTTCATCTCCAAATCAAGTTATGTAAATATACGTCTCATCTTAGATGTTAAGGTTTTAATAACATAACACCCTATGCCCCTCTTCCTCTTCTCTGGATTTACTTATCTTGGGAGGATTCCCTTTTGCATTCATTAAAATCGCATGAGGTTGCCTCTCTAACTTAATTACTATTCACTCCTTAAGATCACCATTCCTCACTCCAAAGACCATTCACATGACCCCATAAAACTGGTCACTTTCTTAAGTGTCGCTATAAAAGTGATTCTGTCACCTGGCCGTACCGGATGTCTTAGCCTAAAATCCATGCGGTATTTAGGTGCATCCATCCGAGAAAATAACATTACTAACCAAGCCGCAAATGCCCTAGTACCGGAGCCTTCCTGGATCGGCAAAGGTCTCTAAGAGGCTCATCCTAAGTTTCTTAATAAAGGTGTTCGTCAAATTAGAAGAGTAGTGCCCCAACACAATCGACACCGGGAATCCAGTGTTCTGTAAGCAGGAACACTCTTCTTGCACAAGACGCACTTTGGATGGTTGAAATTAAGTCCCAAGATTAATAGACTAAATGCCCAATATGCCACGTAGTTAAACCAACTGTAAGTGGGGTACAGGCTTCTCCTTTCACTAAGGAGCTTCGGAAGGACCATACCTAGCTTCTTAAATCTAAATGGCTCGTCTTGATTTGAGATCTCAACTTCCACGCATATTGAGTACTTCATCTTACACCGCAGTATGTTTGGATAATCTAGAGTTCGCAATTATCCCTATCAAACACTCCTTTCAGGGCCCCTCTCTTGTTTCTGGCTTATGGCTCGTAGATTAAGACCCCTTCCTATTCTCTTATGTGACACACACAGACCTCGATCTAGGTTGGTCTATAAGTTCTAAATAACCTATTGGAATCCGTTTGTTTTTAGGACTGAGATAAGGTTAAAGGTTAATGGCAGAAGGGGCATCATAATGAGAAATTGGGTTGCATTTCGGCGCACAACTTCTTATCTTCGTGCCTTCTTGACATGAGATAAACACTTTTTATATAAATAACTGATAGCATAGGTTTTACTCGCTCGCTGTGACCATTCCCACAACCTAGTCAAGAGGTTAGAAACATTTTCTTATCTAATTCAAGACATTCCACCCATGCAATATTAATAAGCAGAGGCTTATGAAACATGTTTCTACGAAGTATAGAGAAAGGACAATTATGACAGGTGGGCTTGATTCTTGAGGACTGGCCCTCAAGATTCCGTGGGTGTAACAGAAATTACTACTATAGGGATGCC